CTTTTGGCAGCGATCACTGAAGTTCACTTCACCGTATTTCGCTGCTCAATGATATACGACGACAGAACGCGTGATCATACACAAACCAGTGATGGACAGTGTAGCTTTGAAAACTACATCCACAACCGATATAAGCCCCGCTTGTTTCCTCATGTCTTTCGGTTGATCCTCAGAGTTGAACTGACGCCAGGAATTCGGGTGCTAATAGAATTAAGCTTAAAAATCTAATCGATACACTAGTTGTTTTAAAAGTGAAGATCACCTCCAACTATTATGATGGGAAAGCAAGTCTGTCTAGGATCTCTTCTGAATTGCGTTCGGTTGAAACAGGACGGCCCGTCTGTGTCCAATCATTTGAGGATATTGAGGGCGAACAGCAGGTCGAATTGCCCTTTAAAGAGTGCTGTCCAGCGTCAGAAACGTTTTAGTTCGTTTTAGGTTGCCCACACATCTGTATCGGATACTGTTTCACTAACAACTTGTTGTTTACTGCTAGTAGTTGGGGTGCGACAGTAATTATTCTGTGCTGAAAAAGCATTGAAGATCGGTTCTCGTAGCTTGAGTGAACTGAAATCATTTTCACCTGTTCCCTAAGTTTGTTTGCAAACGTTTCATCACCGGTTAGGATGGCAGCTTCAGTACTGTGATTGTTGATATCCTGTTTCTATCTTCCCACTAAATATATCATTTCCTCGGACAATAAACTATTTTTATNCTTATTGCCAGGCTTAGTGACCAGGTGAAAATGAATATCGGAGTGTTTTTCTAATGTAGATGCGCCCTTCATTTCATTTACACACGGGATAAATCAAATCTTGCACTCCCTGCGCAAAGTATCAGTTAGTGCATGCTATACATGAACACATTTCAATTGGCTTGCTGTCAACCGCTCTTGGCGACTAAGTTTCAGGCACATGCCATCAGTTCGCGGATATCCCGGGTTTCGCTGCCAGGATGGTCAGCCCACAACTAGCGACACTAGAAGGGTGAATCGGGTCCTAGGGTGCCGACCATTGCTCGCCGGTTCGTTTTGGCATGATTGTCTTTACCTTCTAGCGCCTCTTGATGAGTAGCTCGCGACAAAGACCTACAACCGGCTCATGCATGTCGGACGTCCTTTGTCTTGAGTACACCGAGGTGATATGTGATCAGATTTTCAGTTCACTTTTCCCAACCATGCACTACCATGCGGCGGTTTTGGTTGCTATCTTAGGATGAAGAAGTGGTCAAGGTTATCGCATTTTGGCTACCGATCTGGTAGACCAACCAGGATGGGGTCAGTTGGACATTTTAAAGCTAAGAGGACTATGACGATAAAGAATCAAATACAAGTGAACTACATCTGGTTAGACAATGAGCGCCTAGTTTAACTTTTTTGTTACACACTTTCGTGTGATGAACAACAGACGGGGCGAACCCCATAGTCACGAGGACCTGCTGTTCAGTGATGGAAACCGGTGACCTAAGCCCCGAAACTTTGGGTAGCGAACTACATAAGGCCCCGATAGGTTAGGCGTAGTATTGAGCCGGACGACAGCAGAACTGCCTACCAAATTGTTGAGTGGTAGTGGCGGGGCTCGAACCTCGGACCATGGGGTCCAAAGTACGCCTGTGGCAGCAACTAAACCACAGGGCATATCACGGACTACTCCTATAAAACAGCAACTTCTATCATAAGAAATGACATTCCCTTACACGGAGCCCCCTCGCTCTTATCAGCGAGAATCTCGAATTAGGCCGCATTAGATTTTATTTGTGGCGTTCGTGCATCGGAATTTCCTTGCCATCTTATTCCAACGAAATTCTCCATTTTCCCTTACACTTTGCTTTCCTGTCTCCTACTGTTAACCGACGCACGAATATGCGTGGTTAATGGTTGTTCAAACTGAAAAAAACTGAAACTGTTAATCTAAATGGGCGTTCTCGTTGTCATTTCTTATCAGGCCGGAGTGCTTGAAACGATACGTATGCGCAGTAGGATAGAGTACTGTGTGCTGACCATAGAGGTTCGCCTTCCGTCTCCCTCAACATAGGTCCAATTCCTGTCCACCTTACATATCATCACTAACTTTGCAGACATTGGGAGCTTTACAGCTATTGATGAAGCTCGCTTCGCTGTATTTCGCAGTACAATGATGATGATGATGATGCCATCGCTTACGAAACCCAGTCATATCAAACGATGGATATATAGATGGGCCGCCTAGGTGCCTCTCTCATTCAACTAAGGATGCCACCAGAGTGATTAAATCACTGGGAAAAATACACTTTCTGCTGATCAAACACGTCAACTAGTCAAAAAAGTAAGTGAAGAAGTCATCTTTCATTTAAAGTGAATTATGATAAGTCAGTACATGCGTGGACTTGATGAATGAGCACTGAACCATCGAGAAATGCAGAGCAAAGTCAGTCACTGACCGAAATCCAATCGAGGTGATCGCTTAGTACAAACCCGATCCGACAGCAAGCATCAAACGCCAAATCACCCGACGTAATTTTTGAGGTTGACATTGAGTCCAAGAACAGTGAGAAAACGCCATTAGGCTCTTCTGTATGCATGTTTCTGAGATAACACATCTACATTGGAAGTTTCAAGGGTTCCAGCTAGAGCGGCTTGCCCACCGATCTCATGGACTGAATGAACATCAAATGAAGTGAAGCACTTATTTTAAGTAATCCGAAGACTCCTGATTAGCGCACCTTACTCACGATTTACCCTAGAGAGTGGTTACAGGAGACATCTCATATTTTGAGATGCCTAAAACACGACATGCTTAGTGGTAACATATTCCTTGATTCACTTGTTCCGCGTTAGCCAAAAATTCCACCTAAAACTGTTGCAATACAGTGCAATATTGTGAAAATTGGATACTAACGAAGAGGTACTTCTTACGGATCCCTAACCTATGTCTTTGACTCCAAAGTGTGAGTTTCAATTTTTCTCGATTTGTTCTTCTATGATGACATTTTCCAACGAAATAAACAATGGAAATTATTGTTTGCTTTTGTTTCCCTCCTGTAATGCTCTTTCAAATGTTGCTATCCGGGTCGTCATGTCTCATCCGGTGAACTCGTACCGGATGGAGTATTGCCACACATACAGAAGACTCGATTCGCATTTTGCCAAATGAAGATATCTGTGGTGCCGTCACGACATCCGACTGTCTGTGAAGGGTCCAGTGTATGCTGCAGCAGTTCGGTCAGTTATGCTATATGGCGCAGCGACTTTTTCATCACGAAAACAAGATAAGGATAGACTGTCGGTATTCGAGCACCGCTGTCTACGCCGCATTGCACGAGTCTGGTAAAGGAATCGGACAAGTAATGCCGTGATTAGCCAGAGTTTACGGTAATCACTGTCGCCCACTGAAGCAAGTGATAGCCCTCCGCAGATGATGCTGGTTGGGGTATGAGTCACGCATGTCACCAAATAGATTGCCATGGCGCGCGTTGTTTGCCGAGACAGGTGATGAGTTGGAAAAAGTAAAGGGTGGTCAAACTAAGATCTGGAATATATATATACCGTGTTAAAAGGCTCCATAATGTGGGCCAAGTTCTTTCTTGTACTACGTTGAGTATAGTTAGGTGCCTAGAACGTTGACGGCAGCTCTGCTGGTTGTACAGTCTCTTGTAATGGTGAGCTCCGAGAATCTCCCAGTGCTGCGACTATAGGAAGGGGTTCATCTTTAATGAGAAGCATGTGAAGGGGCAACTGGGAGAGAATCCGCAGTCATAGTGCCCCACTCCGTGGATGTTTCTTCAGAGTCCGTGTTGCTCACTGGCCCCGCTGATGGGAGAGTCACACCAATAAATCTGAAACCTATAATGATGAAAAATACCAAGTCTATCGAAAACAGTCCAGGATTGGGTGGAGAGGTGAATGGATGCCCTTGAAATGAAGAGGAGCGGGGAGAGAGACAGGCTTCAGCAGCTTGACACGTTACTTTTCACCGATGAACAAACTGTCCCATACGTTGTCCGAACGGTGGTTGCAATCAGCCATCGAGGTAGCGGCGATGGATTCGTTCAGTTTATTCCGGTCATTTACGATCCGCATTGGAAAAGACGTCGCCCGCAATTCACAATTTACCCTATCCTTGGTCAGTTTCAATGCATGCCCTCGGAGTGATGTGGTTTCGCCTAGCTTCAATAGCCTCTGGGAACTACTCCTATATCTGTGGACCCTTTGAGGATCCTAAACGCCTCTGAGGTCACCTCGCCACCTGCGTCTCTCCAATGAGAAGAGGTGCAGTACTTCCATTCTCCTCTCCTACAAGAGCTTTCTTATCCCTCCAAACCAACATGTAAAACGCGTTTGAACCATCTCTAGCGCTTTGGCGTCCCTAACAGGAACGGGCTCCAAGCCTGAAAGCAATATTCGAGGTGTGGTCGCACAGAATGGCAAGAGAACCTCCGGTCACCTGGAATCTATTGCCTACTAGAGCTGGTACAGAGCTCGAGGTGCTTTCTTCACACATCTCAGTACTACGGTTTTGTCATCTTCCTCAATAAATGTCAACACCCTGTTGGTTCAGCATATTCGTAATTAATTGTACACGTGAGCTTGGCAGCGAACAACAAAGTCTGTTTTGCTGTATTCTGCGGCACGATGATAACAATGAATCAGTAGTTTTTGGTTTTCATTCTTTATTCTTGTTGGTACGTTCGACACGGTTTATGGAAGTCCTCTAAATCACACACACACACACACACACACACANCATCCGAGAATATTATTTCACATCATTTAAAATTCATGATGCATGCCAAAAAATTACAGTACAATAATCGAATACCATTGTTAAATGGTGACCAAAAAATTACATCAAAAGGTATTTATTTAACTTTGAAAACTAAAGAGTGATTTGAACGGCTCAGTAATCAAACAAGTCATGACGATGAGAAATACAGTCAGGTAGTGTTTTCAAAAATTGTCACGGATTTTCACTCGAATGCATATGTAACATTGAATCAAACTCATTATTCTAGGAGAGACTTACTTTTTCAACATCTAAATGCGAATGTGATTTATCAGCCTCAATCTTCGAAAATTCTTCATTCGCCTTAAGCATATCTCGAAGTTTTTCTCTATAGCGCTTTTTTTCATCTTCGACGATTCTGATTTGTGATTTCATTTCAGAAAACAATTTTTCACTAAAGAAGGAAATAAATTTCTACGGGGCGTACCGATCGTGTTTCCACTTTTTGCATCGCCGTTTTTCATCATCAATGGCCTGTTTGAGATCACCATTTGCCTGCAATTCGAATGCCCCTGATATAAGACTCTCGGTGTCGATGATGCGCTGCACCAACTGCACGAACATGTTAACTACAGTCCCATAAGTGTTCGTAGAACCGAACACCTTATCTACATCTACACTGTATTTCTCGCAAAGTTTTCTAAAACTTATTCAAAAACGTGGAAGTTACCTCTGAGAGGCCAGGGCTTCATTTTGAAGCTTCGAAAACTCAGAAAGAAACCTCTGTAGTCTATCATGCAATGAAATCCCAGTTTCTTGATATTTTATGAGATTAGGTGCCCTATCCTGGAAAACAGATCTCGGAAGATGTCGAAAAATTACCCATAAAACAATCCAATCAGTTATCTGTACC